ATCGCAATAATCTGATATAGTTGGCCGATCCTTATGAGAATATAATAATATATCCTATTTATTACAATACAAAATCTAAAAAAGTCCCAAACTTAAATCTTCAAAAAAAACGAAGTTGGTATTTTTGCCAAAAATAATTCCGATCGTTCAGTTATATGGCAGCTATAGGATATAGTCGGCCGATCCTTTTGAAATTTGATAGGTCTTATTATTTTGCCACACATACCACTCATGCAAAATTTGAACTCTCTAAAACGTGCTATCCGCCTAAAATGACAGGTCATCCTTACGCATAAATCATTTAATCAGCAAATCTTATTTTCTGTCGGTATTTTCCGAGAATAGCTTATTATCAGATTTTCTTAAGGTCAAACTAGTTGTGCGGGGATGTTTCTGACACTGATCATCAGAATCATCCTTAAGACTCGTTGTTTGCATTAGTTTGTCACGGCCGTATTTGAAGATGTCGCAATAGATGTCAACATATTAAAGGTAGCATTTGGTTCCGGCCGTTCCTCGGATATTTGTTTCTTTTTCGGTCCCAAGCTACTTCAAGGACAGATAGTTTTGTAACACATAATTTAATTTTATTTTTTTGTAATTCAGTTGTGTTTTTATTAGCTCGATGGTGTTTTTTTTTAATGCTTGTGATCAAACAGCTTGTGAATTCAAAGTTCATTCAAGAACCACATACGGCATAACAATTACGATCGTGTCACATAAGCTAAATTTTAACAGCATAATTACCACGTGTTGTTGACGTGTAGTAATTACCAACATAAATAGAAATGACGAAATAGCACGGTACCAAATGGGCAGATACATTAGCAGCAATGAAGCTATTTGGCATTAGGGTGACCAGATAGCTGAGGTGGTAAATACGGACACCGCCGTTTTGTCGTATCCACCCCCCCCCCGGTATATTGAAATTATACTTTGCATATTCTTGATTGACTGATTGAGAATAAAAAAGTCAGCTGTTACAGAAATACACAAAGCAACGCTAAAAGCAATGTACATATGTACGCGACAGTATGCATACATACATAGCAAACCGAACAACCAGACGCAATCGTACCATATTTCTAGGGAATTTTACCGTTAACGCGTGCTAAACTAATTGCGCGTTCTCTCCGTCAGCTGCGAGCGCGGGCGCTTTCGAATGTTTAAGTCTAGAAACTCCTTTCGGAAAAATTGCAGGTGCAACCTGTTTTTTCGTTAAAAACGCGAAAAATACGGACATTTTACAAAAAAAATACGGACGAACGGACACAGAGCTGAAAATACGGACATGTCCGTATTAATACGCACGCCTGGTCACCCTATTTGGCATATTCTGAGCTTTCCCATCCACGAAAGAGTTTCTGCTGTCCAACATCTGGCAATACATCTTGAAAACGGCCAACGTGTATACCACTGAAGAAAATGTTCTCCAAAGAGCGTTCGAAGCTCCGAAAACGACTCTAACTGAATTTTTTACATTGTGCCAAAAACCTGATGTTTTTGGCCAATTCGCGAAAACATTGGTGTATGGTGATGTTCCACGTTATTTCACATGCAACAACTCCAGTAAAAAATGGGAGCCACGGAAACAAGGAAAACCACATCCTTCCATTACAGGCATATTCGAAGCTACCGCTTTGAACCTAACGTATCGTTTTATTATTTGTTAAAAAATAAAAAAATTTTATCAAAAACCAAACAATTATAAAACTACTTTTATTTACACAATCTTGCGTCCAATCGCGGTCAAAACCAACACGATGGACTGGAAAGACCCCCCAAGAAGTCCAAGCGTGAGCCGTTACTCTACAGCAGAGACAAATTAAACAACTCGAATCCACAAAACTCGGGCTAAGATTAATTAAGGTGCTGCAACGAATTTCAAAGCTCCCTCTGATCGATGAACTGTATTTTTGCTGTATGTATGTGTGTGATGGTATGTGCATGTGAAGAGAGAAAGAACGGCAACGAGCAACTAAAGAACCAACCTGTAATCTTGACACGTGTTTGCCTCAAAACTTACGCCTTGGCTGATATTTTGCAGGCTTATGTATGTAGTTCATTTACCAAAATGCTATCAATTTGTTACTTAGCGATTAGCGAATACCAGCTGATGTGCTATATGAACAATGAATTCCAGCGGCGTGTCGAGTACAAGCCCAAACTGATATTGCGGATGTACGTATAGCTGATCTGCTAGGTATATATGATGATACGTCCTTCTGAGTCCACCCGGGGGCGCTAAAAAATGTTTGCTCCAAAATGGCAAAGTGCGAAAATGCCCGTTTCAGGCCAGCAACTATGGTCCCAGTAGAAACGCATCAACCGAATTCAATAGAAGTTAATTTATTACTAGTTTCTATCTGCTTCTTCTCTTCTTCCATTAGAAACTGCGACGCAGCGAGTGACAAGAACGAGTACTTAACAGAGCGATAATATCTTTAGGCGGTACAATTCAAATATATTTCACGTAGATATCTTGCAGCTCGGACTCGTTGGGGGTTATTTTATTTGCTCGTAGCTTGCTATGCCCCGTCTCATAGCTAAGTAGCCCAAGTTGCGAGTTCTACGTATTTCCCTCACATATTATTCTTAAAAACAAGTTACGACTAAACACAATCTTAAAAAAAAACGAAGTTGGTATTTTTACCAAAAATAATTCCGATCGTTCAGTTATATGGCAGCTATAGGAAATAGTCGGCCGATCCCGGTCGTTCCGACTTATATATTATAAACAAGGGTGTGTGCAAAGTTTCAAGTCGATAGCTTTAAAACTGAGAGACTAGTTCGCGAAGAAACAGACAGACGTGCTGTCCGAACAGCACAAAAAAAACAAAAAAACAGAACAGAACAAAAACGTGCTGTCCGCCTAAAATGACAGATCAACCTTACGCATAAATCATTCAATCAGCAAATCTTATTTGCTGTCGGTATTTTCCGAGAATAGCTTATTATCAGATTTTCTAAAGGTCAAACCAGTTGTGCGGGGATGTTTCTCACACTGATCTTCGAACTGATCATCAGCATCATCCTTACGACTCGTGGTTTGCATTAGTTTGTCACGGCCATATTTGAAGATGTCGCAATAGATGTCAACATATTAAAGGTAGCATTTGGTTCTGGCCGTTCCTCGGATATTTGTTTCTTTTTCGGTCCCAAGCTACTTCAAGGATAGATAGCTTTGTTTGAAAATATGTCGGTTTTGTTTTCTGCTCGGTTCTGCTTTGGCTTGAAACAATTTAAATTAATTCATATATAATACTATGTTTATGCGATGGAAATAACTATTTCTTGAAAGCGTGATATAAAAATAACCTCTGCTTATGCGACACATATAATTTCGTGATTTGGATTTAGTAGAGATGCCATCAGTATAAAATTAGGTATTGTCGTTTGGTCAGACTTTCAAAAAAAGTGAAACCAAGCAACGCGATGGACAAACTTAAATTCATCATTTACAGTCGGAAAATATGAACTCGGAATATATGAAAAATTAATTTCCAAAGTCCCTAAGATGAAATTTCATTCAATTGCAACCTGATTTGTAAACCAATTCATTCTTTGAGGCTGACATTATAGTCATCTTTCGTGTGTTGCAGAATTCACGAAATGGCGTTTATGCATACACAAATCGGCTGAAACCGTGAAAGGAAAGCATAAATTCGACATCGCAGAAACAGAATAATATTTAAAATGTAAGAACGAATCAGGTTTATTTACGGTTACTGCACAATTTTCCAGTTTTATGGTTGAAAAAATAACTGAAGTATTTTCTCAAAAAAATGTTTAAAAAAAAATTTTATGTAACAAAAGAATTTTTATAGAAGTATTAAATTTTCTTATACTAAACCTACAAACATATACAATATGTAAAATAATTTTTTCTCATTGCTTTTTTAAAACATATCATAAGCTGCTTAAATTATTAATAATAACGAATTACCAAAAAGAGACATCTAAAAAACATTGACAAGATTACACATATTTTAATTTTATTTTTTTTAAATTCAGTTGTGTTTTTATTAGCTAGATGGTGTTTTTTTTTAAATGCTTGTGATCAAACAGCTTGTGAATTCAAAGTTCATTCAAGAACCACGTATGGCATAACAATTAAAGGTTCATCGTTGTAAGATTTTAATTGAAGAACTTGGTGCCATTCCTTAAATTTTTGGATTGTTGAAGTAGATTGGACAACGTTGTCTAAATTATTCTTTGATAGGCGAATACCAATACGATGCTCAATACTAGGAGACTCGACTGCTTCAAAACATTCATCATCATCATGACATTTTTGATTATTTAATAAGGCTCCAATTGAAGATGATTTTTGTCCAATAAGTTCAATTTTACTATTGTTAACATGGATGCTATTTTTTAAACAACTAAGTTCAACATCCTCGTTTATATTACAAACGTTATTGAGCTCAGTTTGTAATATATCCAGGGAACCTTTTTCTTCCTTAGGTAAATTACCTCCAACAGAATTTAAATTATTTATTAAGCTGTGTTTCTTAGCAAAAATCGAATTGAATGATAACAGCATACCATTGTTTCTTAAAATTTCATATTCATGAACATTGTTTTTTATTATTTTAGAAGTAGAATGAATTAAATTAATATCTTTTTCTTCGTCGCTACCCAGCGAAAGTACGTCTTTGTCCTCAACTAATTTTACAGGTAGCACGGATTGAACGCTTCTATCAATTTCTTTTATATTTGATTTTGCGATTTTTTTTGCATCACCTTTTTTTTTCACTGCAATGTATTCAAAATCGCTGTCATCGAAACTAGAGCTACTACTGCTGTAATTTATTATTCTGTGTTTTTGACCTCTAAAATTCTCTGTTAACAATTCATCTTCAAAAAAAAGTTTCTTATGAAGTCTTTGTTTTTTTTTAACAGTATTTTTCACTTTGTCCTTAAAGCGAAACCAATGCTTTAAGTCCAAATCAACGGTATTACTTTTACGAGAAAAAGACTTTCGAATTGTTTGTCGATCAAGATGACGATTCCGATGACGGATAGGCAAACTTTCTTTGGAAAGAATTAATGAGATTAGGGGTGGATGACGATTCTTTTAAAATTTCAGTTTCGAATAAATTTTTTGGAGTTTTTTTGATTGTCAATACGATATGATTGCTAGAAACACCGCCATCATTGCTCGTACGGTGCACAATTTCATATTCATTTTTCCCATGTTGTCCATCAACCTCAATATGGTTCACAGTATCGTCATTTTCACTGCTATTATTTTCACCCCTCCGGTCAGTTATTGTGTCATTTAAGCTTATTTTAATCCGTTTGATTTTCCTCATTAAATAAGTGTTTTCCTCAGAATCTTGTTTTTGTCCACCACCTGGACCACGTCTTTTACGATTTTTTTCGTGTCTTCTTATTTGAGCTTTTTTTTTACCAATATTTGACACGTTTTTTAAAGTTGGAGACTTACAACTGTTTTTACAAATAGGGTTGGCATTGTCTTGAGTTTTTAGATCCACAGCATGTCCATCACGTATCTCTTTTTTATTAGCGAATGTTAGCAAATTGTTACTGATTGCTGAAATATAGCTACTATCAAAATGATCGACTAGGGCAGGATTAAAATAGCTTTCTTTGTATTTCATATTTTCCAAGCTGTTGTTGTAGGTAATCATATCAGAGATTGGTATTTCAGTATCGATCTGGAGTGGACAGTCCCGATTTAGCTTGTTTTTAAAAGTTTGGTCTGCACTTTCATTATGACTATCTAAGGTTTTGCGCTTATATTTTCTACATGTTGGCAAGCATTTAGCAACTCCAAGAAAAGGTGAAAAATCTTTCTGAAAAGATTTTACTTGGGTAGGTTTGAAAAATTTAAGCGAACTTAAATCTTTTCTAATATGATCATATTGAAGAAACCCGTATTTGGGTACAACGTCAGATCCATTTGTTACATTGTAAGAATATAAAGTATTCAGAAAATCATTTATTGATTTGAAAGAAATAGATTCATCTATACTATCCCAATTTCCATTAATATTTGGAATATAGTAATTGTGCAATGCATTAATGTGAAAACTACTAACTTTATTAGTTTGCACATAGAATCTTTTTTTTGCTAAGCAATCTGGATCCTCGTTTATGGTAAATACAGATTGAATTACTTTAGGTAACTCATCGACATTCTCTTGACTACAGCTGTCAAGTTGAGCATCGATATTGGTATTGCTCAAACTCAATAAAAATTTATTTGTAAAAATATGTGGTTTTGATATCTTCTCTGTCGCTTTATTAGCTACTGGTTTTGGAAATGCGTTCACTAAAGACTTCAGTGAATCATCTTCATCTTCAAAATCTAAATCAAATATAGACTTCTGAGGTTTTTTCAGAATTTCTTCCTTCTCAGTTGACTGCTCATGACTTGTACTTATCTTTTCTTGTTTTGTATTATGATCGAACTTTCCTTTGCATTTTATGCCAGGATTGGCTTTATTTCCCTGGTAATCTGATGTGAAAGGTTTCGACTCTCTCAACAAGTTAATATCATTTTCAAAAATTATGCAACTACAGGGTACTAGTTGAGCTTGGTAAGATTCCTCAATCTCATGCACACTGATTGGGCTACCAAAGCTGTTAATAAGGTGCATTAGCTGTGTGGTAATATCATTTAAACTTTCCGTGGTAAAGCTCCTAGAGTAATTAACGAATGAGGAAGTCTGACGACTACAGCTGTTGCTATCCAAAGATGTACACTCCTTAACTTCTTGGGATTTGCTACTGAAGTGGTCTGAAGTATCACTATCCGTATTAACAGTTTCTGTAAAAAAAAAAAAAAAAAAAAAAAAATATATATTGTATTATTGGCATGAATATGAGTATGAGTATGGCATAATTTAGACACCATATAAAAATATTCATAATTTCTTAAAATGAAAGAGCATGTTAAAACTCTGGTAGAAAACTTGTATTTAAAATAACACAAAAAACAAACAAGAAAGCAAAGCTAACTTCGGGCGGAGCCGAAGTTGATATACCCTTGCAGTTAAAACCGGATATATATCGCAAACATCGGATATAGTTGGCCGATCCTTATTACATTATAATAAAACCAATCAATTACAATAAAAAATCTAAAAAAAGTCCCAAGTATCTTAAAAAATACGAAAGTTGATATTTCTACCAATACCATTTCCGATCGTTCAGTTATATGGCAGCTATAGGATATAGTCGGCCGATCCGGGCCGTTCCGACTTATATACTGCGTGCAAAGGAAAGAAGGGTGTGTGCAAAGTTTCAAGACGATAGCTTCAAAACTGAGAGACTAGTTCGCGTAGAAACGGACAGACAGACGGACATGCTCATATCAACTCAGGAGGTGATCCTGATCAAGAATATATATACTTTATAGGGTCGGAGATGTCTCCTTCACTGCGTTGCACACTTTTGGACAAAATTATAATACCCTCTGCAAGGGTATAAAAAGGAAAGCTAACCTTGGGAGGAACCGAAGCTGATATATCCTTGCAATTAAAATCTGAGATATATCACAAATATCGATTTTTTCGCGGTCTTTAAGAAATTAGGGAATGGTTAGTGCACCAATAAGTACAGTTAGAATTTCTGGATTCATCAAAATGCTTGGAGGTCAAACCGACCGAGGAGGCGTTTCCGCATAAAGTGCGCTCGAATCGCGGTAAGCGAGTTATTAAGAATCAGTCTAAAAAATTAGGAAGATAACGAGGAAGAATGGCCTAAAAAATTTAAAATAGATTTTAAGTTTGAAGGATTAAAAAGTGAGATGATACGGAGGAATGAGAAATTTCCTAATAGGAAATTCCTATGCACTCGGAATAGGGACGTGCTGAACACTGATTTAGAGTTTAAGGAAGATAAGATTTGCATCCCAGTGAAGACCCCTAAACTCTTATGTATAGATTCTATGCGGTATTGATGTACGAGGGCTGCTATATATATTTTTGGCCTAGTGGCCATACTAAGTGTTGCCTGGCGCCATCTGACGTTTTCATTGGGAAGTTTGACAATTTTAGAAGAAACGTGCTCAGAACATTTTCGCGCAATCATTTTTCACGGCTTTCGACGTGAATTAACCCGACAAGAGTGCGTCGTTGAAATTAAATCTTTGTATGACGATCGAGCACTGTGAAAAACTAGTAAAAAGAATTCAATCGTGTGGCCGACGCTCGCTCGAAGTCGAAGTTTGTCCAAAAACAGTCGTTGTTCCAGAGAACATTGACGCCGTGCATGAACTGATAATGCAAGATCGTCATGTGACATACCGTGGGATAGAGGCATCGGATCTTTATAAGATCGCCACAGGTAAGGAATCATGAATCTATGCTTACAAGCCCTAAACCAAACAGCAATCGACCGTGTGGGTCTTCGAAGACGAACCAAATCCAACGAAAGTTGTTCGTGGAAGAAGCACTTCGAAGCAAATGGTGGCCTGTTTCTTCGGTAAAACAGGTCATGTGGCGACTGTTCCGCTTGAGCAACATAGGTCAGTCAATTCTGAGTGGTACACCACAATTTGTTTCCCTGAAATCTTCGGAGAAAATCCGAAATCTTCGGACTTGGCACCTAATGACTTCTTTTTATTCGCGCACATCAAGAGAAAAATTCGTGGTCAACGATTTTCGACGCCAGAAGATGCTGTTGAAGAGTTCAAAAAACCATGTTTTGGAGGTGTCTCAATCGGTGTGGACAAAGTGCTTCGACAATTGGTTTGAGCGCATGCAAAAGTGTATAATTCATGCTGGAGAATACTTTGAAAAACAATAAAAACAATTTTTAATGGCGTAAAACTACTGAACCGATTTAATTCAAATTTTTTTTTAAATGTTCGTAATGAAATTCTTCTGTGCTTGAACGATCGACTTTTTACGCACAAACTATTTTTCGCCGAAATGAATTTTTTAGTAAAATTTCTAGAGACCAAAAAGTTCATTTTTAGCATAAAACGTTCCCGTATGCATAAAAAAACTAAAAATTTTAAAACCAATCGTTCAAGCACAACGAATTACACTAAACTAATGAAATTTTTTTACTTTTATGGTTTCAGTTGACCTGTTTGACTTGGGGAATAAAGTGTTAATAATAAAGTGTTAATAAAGTGTACTATAAAAAAATTAAAACATCCCTGTAATTAAATAATTGCTACGAACCTAAAAAAAAATCCGAACTTTGCTCTTTTTCTTCGACAAAGAAGGTATATAACCCCTTAATAAAACCAAGGACACCTTTAGCCTTATTAACCATGACAGGGTGACATGGATTCTCTGGGGTTGAATGTTTCTGAACTCTGAAGTTCAGAAAAAGGCGGTATATATGGCCACGTAATGTATAAAGATTTAGCGAACAAAATGATTTTAATGCAAATAAATTCTATGTCACCAAACTCTTGTGATTTCACCTCTTCAGAATCAAGTTTGGAATCTACCGAAATGACAAGTGGTATAGTCGGAACGGCCGAGATTGGACGACTATATCCTAAAGCTGCCATATAACTGATTGATCGGAAATGCTGTAACTTTGTTGTTTTTTGAGTTAGAGAGTTCGGATTAAGCATGAGTGCTATTTTGGCAAAATAATACGACATGCAAAATTTCGTTTAACTATATCATAGCTTTCATATAACTGAACGATCGAAAATGACCAAACTTTCGTGTTTTGAAGATGGAAAGTTGGAACTTTGTATAGATTCTATTTTTTTTTACCCTCCAAAATTAATAACGATCGGCCGACTATATCCTATAGCTACCATATAACTGAACGATGAGAAATCGTATTTGGTAAAAATACCAACTTTGGTATTTTTAAAGATAGAAGATTGGGACTTGTTTGTAGCTTTATTGTAATAAATTGGTTATATTATGATATTCTCATAAGAATCGACCAGCTATATCCGACGTTTTCGGTTTTAACTGCAAGGTTTTAATAAATTGTTCGCTCAACACAACAAAGCCCCGTTATAGATTCCTCCGTCAAAAAATATATTTGTATCTCGGTTTGCCCCTGATATTACTGAGGTTGATATCTCGGCTTACATAAAAGCCAAAACAAAACCCGATATAAAGGTGGAGGACATAACTAAATAAAACAAGAAAGGAAAGCTAACTTCGGGCGGAGCCGAAGTTGATATACCCTTGCAGTTAAAACCGGATATATATCGCAAACATCGGATATAGTTGGCCGATCCTTATGAGAATTTGATAATATAACCCAATTTATTATAATACAAAATTTAAAAGAAGTCCCAAACTTCTATCTTTAAAAATACCAAAGTTGGTATTTCTACCAAAAACCATTTCCGATCGTTCAGTTATATGGCAGCTATGGGATTTAGTCGGCCGATCCTAATGAAATTTGGTAGGTTGGATCAACTGATCAAAAATATAATCTGTACCAAATTCCAGCTTTCTATCTTCAAAAACACCAAAGTTGGGTCATTTTCGATCGTTCAGTTATAGGATATAGTCGACCGAATCTTATAAAATTTGGCATGTCGTAATATTTTGCCAAAAATAGCTCTTGTGTCAAATTTGAACTCTCTAACTCTAAAAACACCAAAGTTATACCATTTCCGATCAATCAGTTATATGGCAGCAGGATATAGTCGGCCGATCCGGGCCGTTCCGACTTATATACTGGGTGCAAAGGAAAGAAGGCTGTGTGCAAAGTTTCAAGACAATAGCTTTAAAACTGAGAGACTAGTTCGCGTAGAAACAGACAGACAGACAGACGGACAGACGGACCTGATCAAGAATATATATACTTTATAGGGTCGGAAATGTCTCCTTCACTGCGTTGCACACTTTTGGACAAAATTATAATACCCTCTGCAAGGGTATAAAAAGTCCCAAACTTCTATCTTCAAAAATACGAAAGTTGGTATTTCTACCAAATACTATTTCCGATCGTTCAGTTATATGACAGCTATAAGATATAGTCGGCCGATCGTTATGAAAGATCGGATAAACTGACCAAAGGAAAGAAGGGTGTGTGCAAAGTTTGAAGTCGATAGCTTTTAAACTGAGAGACTAGTTCCCGTAGAAACAGACAGACAGACGGACCGACGGACAGACGGACATGCTCATATCAACTCAGGTGATCCTGATCAAGAATATATATGCATACTTTATCGGGTCGGAGATGCCTCCTTCACTGCGTTGCACACTTTTGACCAAAATTATAATACCCTCTGCAAGGGTATAAAAAGAGCTTATTCCGTAACACTAAAGTCTAAAGCCGTGACACTAAACTATTCACATGTAAGTATATCATACTGTATGAAAGTATATTGAATCTTTTGTCTTACCACGAACTTTTTTTGAAAAGTTATCAACATCCAAAAGAGTAACGTTGCTCGAGTAATTTTCGATTAAATTTGGTGAATTTATTGATGCTTCTGTGAACAATTAAGAACCTTCAACGACTTAAGATTCCAAAAGAGAATAATAAAACTTACCTGAACATGACGACGTTCTCCTTTTTATTCGTGCACATTTAGTCAAATTACGAAATGTTGAAGAGTGCGCAGTAGTACTTAATTTTCTGCTCTGAATTTCATTAAAAAGTTCTTTAGTTGTTTTGACTTTTTTAACAGCAGAGCTGCCTGAGAAGATTTGCTGGCATAAGCTAGACGACTCTTTAGAAATTACAGCACCCACACCTCTAGATCCCTTTTTACGACCACGTTTTTTTTGGGAACGTGACTCGGTTGTGTCATTTAATAATTCAGTCGTGTTTGAAACAGGACAAAGGGCCTCAACTGGCAAGTGTATTTGAGAAGCGATTGATTGTTTATGCTTATAAAAATCATTTAATTTTTCCGAATTTTGTGTATTGACGATAGAAAAAAAACGGCTACAAGATGCACTAGAGTCATTAGCATTATAATCTTCAAATAATGGTTTATGAATTTCATTTAGATGGGAAGACACATTATTTTTTGCGGAAAATATGCAGAAGTTATTCTGATTTAAATCCTCCTGTTGATTTATTGACTTGAATCTGCCACTAAATGTCAATTCACTTGAGTTTGTCCTTTTTTTATTGCTGTTATTTCCCATTGTGGCATCGCCTGATAAAATTGAGCTCATCGAACTGTTTGATAGTGAAAATACCTCTACAAAATAAATAAAAAGTTCATGAGCGAGTATAAAAACATTTCCTTATTACACTATTTTTTATTTAATAAATTTTTAAATAGATTTATATAATATACACTATTGATTCTTTTGGACTTCAAAATCTGTAGGTATCTCTATTTAGTATAGAGAATATTTAAAGTATTTTTAACTATAAGTAGTGTTTAAAATAGATTTACAATTTTATTACATTTCGTTTAATTATAAACAAAAAAGAACGACTATAGTCGAGTTTCCCGACTATATTATACCCAGTACTCATCTCTTTCACCCACAATTTAACTATACTATAATTGCTATAATAATAGTTAACTATAATTAACTATCGAAAAGTTTGGCAACATTTTCCAAAAACATAAACGAACTGGCGCTACAACCAGATTTCTGTTTTGGGGGCGGGAGTGGACGTGTCAACATTTTGACACAAACTTGTTCTCCGTGGATACCATACAAGTTCAAATTCCCAATCGGATAGTTTTATTTATTATACCTAGTCTTCGAAATCCATGCGTTCAAAATTTTAGCCTGTTTGTAGTCTTCGAAATCCATGCGTTCAAAATTTTAGCCTGTTTGTATGGGAAATTTTACATACATTTCTTGTTATAAGCGCTTTAACATTTTAACATTTCTTGTTAGATCTCTTGTTATGTTTATTTTGTTAGGAAAATAACGGAAAATAACACTTATTCAAACTTGTTTAAATACTTTGTCTTTATTAATTCACTAGTGTTCGCTTTGTTTCGCACTAGGTTTCGCTTTCCATTCCGCCGTTGACGCTTTTCTTAATTCACATATACTTATATATTATTTATTTTTAGTGGTAACATTTTTATTTTATAATTTATCTTTTTGTAACTTAAGGGGTTATATACCTTTTTTATTTTCAAAAAAATTTTATTGATTTATCTTTAAGAACAACTCCTTGAGAACATTTTCCCAAATTTTCATAGAGATTGGGGCAGTAGAACAAAAGTTACAGCGCTCCTAACCGCGCGTCTTGTCGCGGCCTTGAACTGAACTTGAAACTTTAAACGCGAATATCTCGATATGGTGTTTCTTGAAAAATGACTTTGCGGTGACATGGATTGGCGAAAAATTACTGAAACGATTTACTTCAAATTTTTTTAAATGTTCGTAATGAAATTCTTCTTTGCTTGAACGATCGACTTTTTACGCACAAACTTTTTTTTTCGCCGAAATGAATTTTTTAGTAAAATTTCTAGAGACCAAAAAGTTCATTTTTAGCATAAAACGTTCCCGTATGCATAAAAAAACTAAAAATTTTAAAACCAATCGTTCAAGCACAAGGAATTACACTAAACTAATGAAATTTTTTTACTTTTTTGGTTTAGTTGACCTGTTTGACCTGGGGAACTGTCACCGCAAGGCTCTAAAAAAAAAAAGCTTCTAAAGGAAACAGCCACCCATTAAAAACTATTTAATATTTTTCCACCAAATTTTGCACAAACATTGTTAATAATGTGTACTATCAAAATATTAAAACATCCGTGTAATTAAATAATTGCTACATACCTAAAAAAAAAATCCGAACTTTCCTCTTTTTCTTCGACAAAGAAGGTATATAACCCCTTAATTGTTAGGTATTTTTTTCTATCTTTTTCCGTTGTCATCTTTTTAAATCAGTGGTCGGCACCCCAATACATTGATAGGATTTTAACGTACAGTATAATTCACTTAGCTGCCTCGATGCTTAGCTGCATCGTCAAGATAACTGCCTTAATTTATATTTTTTCTGCATTTATGGTCTCATTTGTATGAAATTAATTACGTTTGCTGCATTCAAGTTAGCTGCCTTTCGCACTTAAGCACATAATCTTTAAGTATATACCTACTGTTAAGAATACTTGCACAAAAATTTATAACGATCGGAGCATTAGAACCGAAGTTGTAGCTATTTATAGTGCACTACCTGCATATAAAACTTGAACAAACTTGAAACTTTAAACGCGATTATCTCAGAATCTTTTTTTTGGGAAATTACCTTTGCGGTGGACACGATTACTAAACAACTACTAATCCGATCGACACCAAACTTTGACCACTTATTTATTATTGTTTGGTCATTGAGCGTTTTCAGTTCCGTAAAAAAAAAGACGAATTTGTTACTTTTGAACGTTATAAAAAATGTTTATTCCTGCATGCAGATGAAGCCGGATGATCCGCAGATAGACCAGCTTATGGTGCATGCAGGGACTCAAGTGAATACAGAGAGAGGGCGGCCCGACAAGTCACCTCGAGCTAAAGCTCTCGAAAGTGGAGAGGGCGGCCCGACCTAGACATTGCCGAGCTAAACTCTCTATGGAAAGCTTGTTGAGTCGAGCGGCCGAGAAAGAGTCGGCTTGCGATCAACAAAGCCTTTGTACAAACTTAAGCCTAATAAATAAACATTACACTAATAATTACACTAAACATTACATAAACATTATTTAAACATTATTTAAACATAAACATTAAACGCCGTGCTGCTGCTTGACCCGACAATTATGATATTAGCTAGTCCGTAAACGATTTCAATTTTTCAATTATAATCTTCAATTTTTCAATTTTTTAATCATTTTAAATGCTTAAAGCATAAAAATCGAAAATCTTATACCTTGAAAAAGTACATTATTTGTTAAAAACGTTGCCATTTTTTTGTTAATCAAAATTTTTACAACACAATATACTAACTAAATTTTTTGAATTTTCGATTTCGGATGAACCGTTTTTGGGATATCATGTCCATCGCAAGACACCATCGAAAAAAGACGATCCGGGAATTCGGCTATACCATTTTTATTATGTAATATTTTTTTATGGAAAAATTTAAATAAGTACCCAGAAACATGTACTAAACAACGTCGGTAAAACATTTTTCATAAATATTTTCTATGGTGTCCAAAAAATTGTCTGTATTATTTTCTCCACTTAACCCAAAAAATATCAGCCAGTCTTTGAGAAGCCCTCTACATGTTTAACAATTTCATGTCTCCATCCGACACATCACATTGGAAAGATTCTCTATAGTTTGTCTATAGTATATTCTCTATAGTCTATGGTATATTTCTTAACTGATTGAATAATTCTTTCCCATGCTCCTCCCATATGAGGATACAAAGGGGGATTGAATGTCCATGCTCTTTCGTGAAATTGGCCATTACGAATTATTTTCTTGACCGAATTTCTACATTTTATTATTCAGTATTTCATTTGCAAATTGGAAATGACGGTTTCGGTACAAATGTGACAGTTTTTTTGATGATAGGAATAGATTAGAAGTGTAGTTATTGGGTGGTCATTACTCAATAGAATCGGATTTTTAGCGTTCATGTCATACTCATCATCATTTAAATGATCCAATCCACCTTTCAATCTAAGCAATCCATCAGTGGATAAATGCAGTGGCAATGATTTTAGACAACTTGAAACCCTAAGGCTTTTCTTTTTTGTACGCTTTGAATTTCAGTTTGAAAGGAATCAGATTGTAGTTTTTTTTTTTTTTAAATTAGGCCTTTGGCATTATTTAATTCCTTTGCTGTACGTTCGCCACAAGCTCGATGTTCTTTATTAAGTTTGACATTGTGGGGGGAGACAACGGGGGAGGCGAAGGAGGCCAGCGGCGTATCGCATAGCAACAGCAGGGGTCAGCGGCCGAAAGGAAAGGGGCAACGTCCGCAAGGACGGCCGACTGCCAGCGGGAAAGTGGCGTGATGGAAGCAGGAGTAACGGCAGCCCGCCAACGGGAAAGGGGCGTGATCTGTCGAGCCAGAAGAATTAACGCGCGCTCCGATTCGCATATAAGGAGGCCCATTGGAGCAGATCAAGGAGGACCGCCTTTGGAGAGTCTGACATTCAAGCGTTGGAGCGTTTCTAAAAAGGGACTCGGTGTTTTAAGTTGAAGGACCGCCTCTGGAGAGTCCAACAGCCCAAAAACGAGCAGCAACAGAACGAACAAAACGAGAAAGGATCTGTACTGGGACAATTCCTTGGAAAGACCTAGGCGACAGGAGACGAGTTGGACCAGTTCCTGGCCCCGGCAGGTAGCCTTGCAAGGAAGTGAGGAAAGGATAAGTCTGGCGCACGCCACACTGACTCCTGACTTACAACCAACAGGCGTGGTCCTGCAACGGTACCACGCCTGCACGGCGTTTTCCTGGCGTAGCGGAGCCGACTGTAGGCAGCAAACTCTGAACCGCTGGTGCGCATGCACGGCGTGTCTTCCTGGTGTTGCGGAGGCGACAGTCAGTAGCTATCTCCCAAACCGGACTCGCCGGCGCGCAAAGCACGGCGTTCTCCTGGTGTAGCAGAGGCTACAGCCCGCCAACTCCCGAGCCCGGCGGTACAGCGCGTAGGCACGGTATCACCGGCAATTGAGTGGAGGCCTGTCAGTGCGCAGCCGAAGTCCAGACCAGACCAAGTCAAAGAGGTGGAAGGCTTGACGAAAGAACACCAAAGAGGAACCCCCGGCAACGAAAGCAGCGACGAAACAGTAACAACGGAGCAGACCATCAGGACGGCCAAAGAAGGCACCAAGGATCACGAGTATTCGGAGTGGGGCCCGTTCTCGGGAACCAGGTCAAAATATCATTGTAAATAGAAAGAGCAGCAAATAAAGAGACTGCATAAAATAAAAGCTATTTGTATTATTTCTGGGCTCGGGCAATCGCGTCGAACTATAAATTCGGTGGAACTAACCCGCAGACTCTGTGAGCTAGCCGCGGCATTGTGACGAGCGGAAGCAGACAAAACAGTTCGTTACAACATTGTTCACAAATCGTAATAACCAAGCTGTTGTTTGTGAATACCTCGTCCAACTTTTCATCTGTGAAAATCTGTTCACATCAGGTGGAATTGGTTCATGTTTTGCTTCAGTCATAGCATTTACATATTCGTTTGAGTCATCTTCTAAGGTTATTTTACTTTTTGGGCACTCGACAATATCTTTGTACAGGAGTTCCGGTCTTTTTATCCAT